CATCACAACCAACCGCCAATTCTTGGGCTACTCTTTTACCAACGAATAGTAGGAATTACCGTCACTTTATAACGCCCCCACGGCTGAAAGGGCGAGCACGTTTGGTGGGACGGGGATTGCGGGTCGAGCGCCCCCACCACCTGGCCATGCCGGGCACTCGATACACGATTTTCACACATGAATGTACGAATTCTGTACGTAACATTTTATGTTCCCATCGAAGGGATCGAACCACTCATTTGTGTTATAAGTAAGTGTGCACTTGCGAACTAAAAAAGCCTTTTACTTAATTATAGCATTTTGCATCTCCCGCGGAAAGGATCGAACTTGGGACCTCTCACATCGCCAGGGTAGTGTTCTAACAATCGAAAATAAGGATTGATTGTTTGTCTGTAATTAAGCACAAAGCTACACAATGGGCTATCTGTGCTGTGCCCACCACGGGTATCGAAACCCGGATTCTAGAGTTGTAAGTCCGCAGACATACCGCTGTGCCACTGGGGGACCAAAATTAGGATTGGATCCCCGATAAGTAAAAGTGTACGAAACTTGTGGAGTTATGAAGTGACTTACGCCTTTCGCGAAATGGCGACAGCTACAATCCTTATTAATTACTACATGTCGCCCCTCTGCTAACCTAGATCCTGGTTTTGATATTTAAAACAGCATTCTGTAACCAATAAAATAATAATCATAACAACTAAATTTATCCAGAAAAAATAAATAAATTTTACAAATGAAGAAAAGTGCGGTAAACAAAAAAGAATATTTTGAGAAATTATAGCTTCTGGAAAAGGGTCCTCACCCTACTGCAGCAAAATAATGCTGAAAAAACGTACTGCTAGCGGTACAGCCTTTTAGATTTAACTGAATTTTCATGAACTATCAAAGACAACGGAAGAGGAGGCAGTTGCTTAGGCAACGCTCAATGGAAGACACATCAGTTCTGATCATATACAAACAATGTGAAAGATATCATCATAAGATCTAGATACCATCCTGCTATAATACTCTTTACATAAATTAATCCAAACTTCTATTTTGAAGGTTTTACATTTATACAGATTAAACGTCAGTTCTATTCTGGAAGTTCCAAGTTTATAAATTCAAGGTTTCAGTTCTGTTCCGGAAGTATCAAGTTTATAAATGTAAGGTTCAGTTCTGTTCCGAGAGTATCAAGTTTATACATTTAAGGTTTCAGTTCTGGTCCGGAAGTATCAAGTTTATACATTTAAGGTTTCAGTTCTGTTCCGAGAGTATCAAGTTTATAAATGCAAGGTTCAGTTCTGTTCCGGAAGTATCAAGTTTATACATTTAAGGTTTCAGTTCTGTTCCGGAAGTATCAAGTTTATACATTTAAGGTTTCAGTTCTGTTCCGGAAGTATCAAGTTTATACATTTAAGGTTTCAGTTCTGTTCCGAGAGTATCAAGTTTATAAATGCAAGGTTCAGTTCTGTTCCGAGAATATCAAGTTTATAAATTTCAGGTTCAGTTCTGGTCCGAGAGAATCAAGTTTATACATTTAAGGTTTCAGTTCTGTTCCGAGAGTATCAAGTTTATAAATTTCAGGTTCAGTTCTGGTCCGAGAGAATCAAGTTTATAAATTTCAGGTTCAGTTCTGTTCCGAGAGTATCAAGTTTATACATTTAAGGTTTCAGTTCTGTTCCGGAAGTATCAAGTTTATAAATGCATGGTTCAGTTCTGTTCCGAGAGTATCAAGTTTATACATTTAAGGTTTCAGTTCTGTTCCGGAAGTATCAA